CTGTGAGAGATCCTACGTGGTTGTTGGCCAATCGTAGCGTAGACAACTTGAATCGTTTCTTGTATCCATGATGAGGTAGCTTCTTCAGCCGTCCCGGTCATCTTGCTGGGATGGTAACCCATGCCGTTCGCTTTTGTCGGGCTCAAATGCGCGTGGCTTACGGGTAACGCCCTGCTTTTACTCCAGAATCCTGATGAAACATGAAAGAGCATTGATGCGACGTTTTATTATCCCAATAATATTGATATTGAAGTATTTTGGAGAATAAAGGCACTGACTTGGAATCGCCTGGTCGCGCATGCCGCAATAAAAGGTCTGAGACATTTAGTAGCCTCTTCGATAGAAGTAGGGTCCGTTCGGCGAAGACCCTCAAAGACCCCCTGCTGGAGACCCCAAATTCCTTGTCGTTCATCTATCATTCAGAGTGGCATGTATCACTTCTAACGTAATTAAGGGCAACTGTAAAAGAGCAGGGAGTGTATCGGGTAGCAATTCTCGACGGTTGAAAGCATCAATAACTTTTCCCAACTTATCTTCAATGCATAAGCCCCCCTTCACATTGATAATAAATGGGTAATAAATAATTTCATTTTGGCACGCAGATAGGAAATCTTATGACAACTGACTAGCAATTATTCACCAAGATTCTCGGTGGCGAGATTTCGAACCTCTACTCACATATTTCTGAGTCAATAATAAATAAGAATCATGCCCTCATATGGCATTTTAACGATCAGTTTTGAATTTCTAATTTTGTTTTCGGCCTGTAGCAATGCACATATGAGTAAATTGGTAACTCGATGGGTATCTACGAGCTCTGGTTCCATGGCAAACCATAAGGAGTTTGCGATCTGCCGTCTGCGAATCCTGCTGTCAAAGTTCAATTTTCTCAACATTTGTGCGCATCTATATTTAGGCAATCCAGATCGTTTAAGTTTGGCTGTCTATGGTAATGAAGATGGTTGCAGCTATCAAAATCGTATGTGTGCACACTATTTTCTATTTTGATTTGATTCATATTGTTGTTTTGCATGAATTTTCTGAAAATATGGCAAAAAAATTGCGTTTTTACTATTCACTTTCGTCACCAATAATTTCTGCTTACGTGAGATCGAACACCGATTTCTCCTTAAGTATTTTCAACATACCAAACATTGTTACAGAATTATATCAGGAACATTTCTACGAATGGTTAACCCAAAATTTTATTTTTAATGTCTAATTCCTTTACTCGAAATAAATTTTGATTACCCTCTGTAATGCTCAACGATTTATACTTTTTCCTTTCGCGAAGAAATGGGTCAAAATGTTAGCTGTTCTCGGCAATGTTCAAAACCGTGCATGAAATCCCACTGAGCGCATTAAACTTCACCATTCCAGATATGTCTGAAGCCCTTGAATGCTATCGTGATGCACATCCAAACGAACCTCTCATAGCAGACCGGATCTGGCTCGGAGCTTCACTGATTCTTATCACAGCGATTTCGTTCACACTCAATTCGATTCTGATAATTATTACCATGAAGATGCGCATCCTCGAAAAGCAGTTCCGATATCATGTTATCAGCATGATAATAGCCAGTATTGTGTACTTATTTGCCAATATACTCGGGTTGATACCAGCCACTGTTGCCGCTGTGCATATGCCGGACCCTTGGAATATCATACTGTCGTCTACGGACAATTTAGGCTATTTGGCGCTAATGTTTACAAACACAAATCTGGCAGCGGATCGATTTATGTTTTTCTTTATGAAAGAGGTAAGCAATGTTGTGTGCATAAATAGGTCTTTTTTAGGATGAAATATGTATTTGGAAAACAGACCTTTGGGGCACGGGAAGGCGACAATGCGCGCAAAATGAAAGCAGTGTAAAATCGCTCTTGCTAATTTCTACAGAATTTTTCTTGTGGCATCAAATAGTATATCCTCCCTCACCTTCCACCCCCCCCCCCCCTTTCTTGGCGGCGTGTCATTTTAGCACTGGAGAGTTTTGAAGGGCACAGAATTTGGGCATTGCTGCCTTCCGCACCACACCCACATACCTACCTCTAAAATTCACAAGGACCATACAAAATCTATAGAAAGTACAAATAACTCACTGAAGAATAAAGCGTGGCATTTTTTGGTACCTTGTGGCTGCTGTCTACGAATTTGTTATCTTCTATCTATATGAAGCTGGATGTTTTCTTTATTTGTCTGTGGGTCAATCTGTCTGTGTAAGTATGTTCCAAATAGAAATTTTTATTTCTGAACCGATCCGAACCAAACTTGACACACATACACAACTTGACACGTTCGCAAGGGTGTCGTAGGCTACTTTTCGCCATCGACATCAATATTATCGATGTCGAATTATCGATTTTTATCAGTTCATTGCAAAATACGAGCTACTGGGCGGGAGTTGGTATGGGGGGAGGGGGGGAAGGGGGGGAGGGGGGGGGGGTAAGTGAGAATATTACGAATACAATACTAGTTTTCAGAATTATCTGTATCTTTCAACGATTTCATCAATTTTTCTACAAAGTTGATCTTCTGGAGTCACAGGGGGGGGGGGGGCAAGCGGGGAGGCATACTGATTACAAAACAAAATGGCGATAGGGAATTGGCAAGTAGAAGTGGGCACAGGGAAAGGTTTCTACAGGATTATGGAAGTAAGCTCTAACATAGTGTATCAACAGAATCAGGCGGAGCCGGTATGCCAGCTGGTAATACAGCAAAGGTTTTCTGTAATTTGCAGTCGATCCCTGCAGAAGCGACGCCAAAAAGTTGCAGTCAGCGACAGCTTTTAATTCGACAGCCTCTGAGCACAAGTCGCAATACTCGAGTGCAGCTGCGGGCTAGAAGCTAACAGCTTCTCAATCAGATCACTCATGATTTTGACGGAATTCTTGAACTGCACAGAAAAAGGGAGCAGGAAGAAAAATTGCGAAATTTTTATGGTTGGAAAGATTTCATTTATTGATGTGCAGGCCAAACATGTCTTGGCATCGAGAAAAGTCAGAAGACCTGTTGATAACTCCAGGCTTCCCTCCACTGAACAGTATAAAAAACTTGGTGTTAAAGTTCGACCGAGCGCCGAAAAATGCTTTTGAAGATGAAATTTCCAAAAGTGCCCGAGAACTTTCTTAACAACCTAATAAGAACCATTCAAGGAAAAGTTCTGAAATAAGTTAAACTGGTTTGGTGTCCACTCAGTACTTTGAAGGAAGTATGAAAACCAAATAATGAATTTGAGAGGTGGACGCTCACCCTTCCCGATAAAAGATGGGTATTTCAGATCCAAGATGCCCTTGGCTCGAATAAAACAGCTTATGCGATCGTTGCATCACTTCCATGGGTTGCATCAATCGGGATCACAGTAAGCATGGCTTTTGAGGGTTGCTACGTACATACAGATCCTTATACGTTGACATTTTCATACGGGTGCAGGTACGTATTACATGATCACAGATATTTTTCGAAAAATATTCAAATATATCAGTCAGTATAAGTTACAACTACACAATGTTATTCTAGCACTTGCATATTTTTTGGACCCCTGCTTTACTATTTCGGATACATATTTCCTGGAATTAACTTTGTATTATATGGTTTGATTTATGCTGAAAACATCCGCATACAAATGAGATTTAAAAAAGCCACGAGAGATGCCGATGCGAAGTCTCAAAACAAGACAATCAATTTGGTAAGTATAGCAGTAGCTCAGTCCGCTAACAATCGCTGACTTCACCTTCATGGTGTCATCTTTAAGGTGATTCAGTTCTCCCTTATATGTGCTATACAATTCGCCAGTAGCGCGTGTTTCTACGTTCTGCCACCATTGTTGCCAAATAGTGACTTAGCTTTCTACTTGCCGATGGTTATCTCTACGCTAAACACTATGACGAATCCCGTAGTCATGCTACTGTTCCAACCAAGGGTTCGGAATGCTTATATAGCCATTATAAAAAAGCGTTTCAAATCCTTGCCTACTCCAATAACGACTATTCAGCCATCTAAATTTACAAAGAGGACTTGTTCTTAAAGCACTTTGTTGTATGCATTTTTTTCTCAGAATATCCATCAGAGCTTTCCTAGAGACACCGATCTTGTGTACAACAAAATCATTTTTTATGTCGCTCTGTTTCCTTTCCCCCTCAATTTTCAAGAATATGAAGTGAAGTCAGCGGTAATGTGCTGCAAACATTTGACTGCTAAATCAGCACTCCAACTAATTTTGCCTGATTGCTTGAAATAATGCTTATTGTTTCTTCGCTTTTTCATGAGCTGTAATAAAAATTGATCAAAAATTTTCAAATGATTTCCCCTACCTATTCCTTTCATATATCTGCATGAAGGGATGAAGCGTTTGAATTTGCGCAACTCTAGCAAATCTTATTCTACAATGTTTTACAGAACCAGTGATTTTTTTGAGTTCTTAGAAACTAATGTGATAAGACTGTTTCCATAAATAAGTTAATCTAGTAAGGTTTCCATTCTATGATAAAATTTGAACTTTCTCGGTAACGTAGTGAATTCTCAAAAACTAATGATTTTGCCCCTATGGTGCATTTATCTGCAGACTGCGTATTGTTATTCAATCACTCAAAAATCCAACGAAACCCATTATCTACATGTTTCTTGTTACGACATTCGTATCGTGGGTTACAGTAAACCATATATAGTTAGAAAATTGCAAACGCAGAGTGTTTAGCTCTGGAGGGGTTAAAATAGAATTTTTACAATTAGGAAACTTCTGTGAAATAGAAGTGATGCATTTTTTTCTGCAATGAAAAGTAACCTAGAAAATTTCGTGCGCGTGAAAATCCATGCCTAAAAGTTGTATAAATTACTGTTTCAAGCTCTTTATTTATGCAGATCGAAAGTGTGACTGGCTTCATCGTTCACAATAGTTGCATCTAGGTAACAATAAGATAACAAACGGTCCTGATTGAAATTGACGGATTTATTGCAAAAGTGACTTGAGGGAAAAGGGTATCGCAATTTGAGATAATTTTTTTTACCCCGCGATCCCTTCGGAACGAGTAAGTTGGTAGGCGAGCTGAATATTTCTGCTTTCTCTTTGATCCAGCTCCCGTATGCGACGCTGTAAAAAATTCCTCTCACGGAATTTCTTCATTTCTACTTTTCTCACCTCCAACAGTCCGAGTTCCTGTGGAGAAAGATATTTTGCAGCCTCCCTGAGTAACGAAGCTTCAAGGGCTTTGTGTATTTTCGAGAAATCTCCGTCGTATCGCATGGATTCGCGTTGATATCCACTTCTCTACAATCATACGCTTATTGTTGTCATAAAATTTTGTCAATGTATGGACTTACAATGTTGTAGTAGAGATTATAACCAGCAGCAATAGGAAGATTAAAAGCGTTGACCATTCGCCCGAGTTGAGTCTAAAAACGAACTACGTTGTAGCCTTTCTTTTCTAAAAAAAAGTATGAAAACTGCCTGAAAAGTAATAATCCAACGGAACACTCTATTGACAAGAGCTAGTCGTTGATCAACTCTTGGAAATCTCCATCGATAAGATCTTCTTACGGCTACTTGAAACTAAAAGAGCTATTTCAAAAAATGATTCGAGAGAGAAGTAGGCCTACCTCCGCTTCCGCAAACTTGACGTCAAATTCACTTCTGGCTTGATCAATTCGTTTGGCAAGCTGTAACAAATCTTCATCAAATTCCATATTGAAAACCGAAATTCAGGTGGCCAGGCCACACCAAAACATAGAAAATCTTGTTCTTACTCACTTGAGCTACACTTTCACTTTACAAATGAGAGTTTATAGGTGTGCCCAGATATTCCCAACATTTTTGAAAAAATAGGTTGTCTTTGAGTGTTTCCAATCAAAGTTAGAATGTTTGACGAATCCCGACGAATAAGTTGTTAAAAAACTTTCACGGATCCCGACGAACAAGTTGTTAAAAAACTTTCAAGTCGTTTTGTTTCCTTATTTCTTCGTTGAAAACCCTGGAGGCCCCCAAATGGTTGATCTCAGTTTTGTTTTTGGTTTCGTGAGTAACCAAAAATCTGTTCTTTGATTGCTCTTGTCATGTGTCTCGAGAATTTTTCAATTTGATCTTTGATTCCGCTATAATGAAAGGTCATGTGTATAAACTGTAGTAAAAGCTGCTTCAACATCTTTAATTTTTTTGAAAATTTTTGGTGTCTAAATGTGAATTATATTTTTTATTTAATTTTTGATCTACCAAGAAACCTCAAATGTACAAAAATTGACATAAAAACAACCACATGATATAAATCAAATCGTTTCCTCATGCATTCAAAAGTTCAATTTTTTGGTGCGGGACACATGAAGCAGCAAAAAGTTTGTAAATCAGGATTGACTTGCATAATTCAATGTTCAAAAGAAGTGAAATAAAATTTCTGCTAACCAGTTCCAGTTCCTTGTTTGGAATCTGCCTTTCAGGAATTCCTTCTCTCAGCAGTACCCTTCTATACACATTTGGACTGACGTAGCCATTGCACAAAGCGAATAAAGCCAGACTCAGGAATATGAAGAAGATATTCATCAAACTGAAACTTTTAATGTTTTCTTGGCATACCGAAAAAGTCAGAAGGAGAAAAGTGTGAGAAAGTTGGCCGCACTTACTTTCTATCTTTATAAGGGCTTCGCATTGAGAGGTGTTATATTAGCCTAACATATCAGGTTGTTCCAGGACACAAGCAATGACGTTAAATAGATACATAACCAGTCGTGACATCCTTGACGCGCTAATGCGTAATTGTAACTGGTTACAGAATAAACTCATAAAATCTCTCACAGGGGATTTCACAGAACCTGCTAGTCCTAATTCGGTCACATTGAGATCGTATGTGTCGAGGTCAATCCGAGAATCGAGAATTATGTTTGTTTGTACAAGTTTTCGTGAATATTCTCTTTATCAAGCTTCAACTTACTACTCAATATAATGCTGAAACAATTTTTTGAAGTGTGGTAAGTTCATAATTTTCTGTTCGACAGCCATTAGCATCAAAAGCGTTCTCAACATCACTCAAAAGCTCGTGTAACTCTGCTAAAAAAGGCAAAAGAAGTGAGCAATGAGTTTTGTGATTTGCGATTTAAGGGAAGATATGTCTCACAACAATTCGAAAATTTGCTTTCCCAATGTATTTTGGTATTTCCATGAATTGCAAGAAATGCTAAAACATAGATTCCAACAATTGAGTGCAGACCCCAGAGGTTATACAACTGAGCCCATAACTCGGGTGGAAAAAAACCTGTTCCGGCGTATTGTCCGCGTCGAAACCGCTAGAGATTATAAGCTTTTATCATTTTTACACATTTTCTGCTCGTTTTTGAAGAGCTACTGGCACAAAGATTCAGGAAAACATAAGATTTTTTGAATTGCACGTCCTCAAGAGAATTAACACTACAGCGACGGAATTTCCTTGGACGAGATCTGCGCATGGTCGTAACTTACATTAGTTTTAAAATAGGAATTTCGGATTTCTGTCTGTATTTTTGAGATGTGGACATCATATTGTTTGGAAAGACGAGACAATCTGAAAATACACTTTTTCAGGATATTCCAGCAGATTTGCGATAGAAAGATCGCGACAGAACCGTCGCCACTGCATTGCAGCTTGGGAAAATGATTCTTTAAATTTTTTTATTAGGTTGTCCCGAAAGTTTTGTCCGTTTTTTCAACCTATCATAAAAACGCGTGGAACAAAGGTAGGGAAACGCTCTAAGCACTATCCGACGCATCTTTTCCTTCTCTTTCTAACTGTCATGCGTCCATACCTAATAATCTTTAGTTCACTGAGATAAATGCCGAAATTTCGAACCCATGGTTTTTACTATGTTCAAGTTTGGCAATTTTTCACAATCTTTATTTTTGACTTTCGGAAAAGCTTTGGCAACAGTTAGATAGAGCAAACAAAGGGCAAAATAATGCAATTTTGCGACATCTATAGCCAGCCTTGAAAATTTTTTAGAATTATTTTTGTGATGCTATCAAATTCCACTTTTAGGGATGCCAAAAGCCAGAGATCATGAAACGGCGCACAACACTAAGGCATTATTCGATGCAGCTTTTCCTCCTCTTTCGTGAGTGTATTTTCTCTCCAATTTGCGGGGTCTTTGGCGATAAAATTTTCATAAGTCTTGAATTTGACCCCACCCGAGCGTGTACACGTAAAATGCAAAATCTAATATTTCGAAGCGGTAAGCGCTCATTTGCTTCGTAAAAATAGTGAAAAATCGTAATCGGTTTTTGAAAGCTTCAAAATCCGATGATTTTTTAGTGTTCGAGGCGTTTCTGTACTTTAGAACTTCGCAAAAGTGAAGACTTTTGAAAAAAATTATCTTTAAAAATATTGAAAAGCCAGCTAGATATGCCAAATAATTGCATTGCATTGCCCTTTGCTTACTCTATCTGAGGGCTATCAAAGGTCTTCGAAAAGTTGAAAATGAAGATTGTGAAAAATTCTCAAACTTGGACATAGTAAAAACCATGGGTTCGAAACTTCGGAGTTTATCTCAGTGAGCACAAGAGAAATCGGCATGTGGGCTTGACAATTAGAAAGAGGAGGAAAAAATGCGTCGGGAGTGCTTAAAGCGATTCCTCATCTTTGTTGCACTATTTTTATGATAGGTTGAAAAAACGGACAAAACTTTCGGGACAGCCTAATATTTTAAATTAAGTTCCCTGACATTGCGATGATTGCCAGCGTATAAGATTTTGGAGAAAAAATTGGTACAAAATGATGAACTCTATGTTCTACTTTCACAAACTTCTAAATCTTGAACAAATCTGAAGAACTCTGTGTTACTTCGCGGTATAATCCATGCCGCTTTCTTTTCAGCGCCTATGTTCAAGTAGAACGGATATCTCGTCAATCAATGGATTGAGCATAGTATAGCATTCGACTCGCAAACTGTTTACTTCATGTTTTCATTTAACTGCAGCGTGAAAAATCATTTCCATTCGCATGAAAGTAGCTTCCGGCTCTATGAAATTCACAACAGATGGGTATACATATTAGTAGAATACATCGTGAGATCATGATAATATTATGATAAATTTTTTTACCACTCGAGTTAATTATCACAGCTTGCATAAAGAACTTATCGAATTAGAATTTGATGTCAAATTTTAGAAGTGTAAATAAGATGTTTTCTTCCTCCCTTATTTTGACTGAAAAAAAATCAGTTTATTCAATTTCATTTAGTGTAAAGTAGCTTATCGATGAACAACGTCCAAATAATACCTAAATCAATTTGTCCGAGGCAGATTTTGGTTCTCCCCAGAATGATGTGCAAAATCGTAAATAGTTTGTTTTCTAGATTCACTCAAGCGAATGGTTGACAATTTCTATCATCCTCTTTCTGCTGACTTCAAATTTTATCACAACAATCTGAGTGCTCTCAAATCCTATAAATTCAACAAATAAAGGTGTTGCAATAAAGTGAATTTCAATGCAAATCCATCAGATAAGCGGGACTATTCGAAAATACGCTAAGTGCTGTTCAAAAATCGGCAAAAGACCTTAAGACTGGAGTATAAACGACCGACTTAGAAACGTGCACATTTTTTTCTGGGGCACTCTGTATATACAGGGTGACCGAAAAGCGCCCCACTGTTTGATCGTTGATATCTCTTCTCTCACACCGTCTTTTACCGACATTATTTATTACTGTAAAACTTGCTTGATCTTAGAATTACAGTATGATGCGGATTACCGACCGCTTTCAAAGGTGGAACTTCCAGCATGCGCGATTAGGTCCGCCTCAAAAAAAAGCAAAACAAATTTGAAAAGCTGTGTAGCACGGTTTTCGCGCATGATGATTTCTGATTAATGTCGTATTACTATAGTAATGAGGAGTGATCATTGCACCATACTGTATTTCTAAGCTGTAATCAGCTCTAAAAAATGGTACTCGAGTGACGGCAAAAGACCTTGTGTGAAGAGAGATGTTAACCATTAAACAGTGTCTACATACTTTTGGGACTTTTTTTAATACTGTTTAGAAAGTATCCAGAGAATTTGTGTGCGTATGTGCAAAGGCTACTTATGCACGATATTGTATGTGAAGCGACTAGAATCAAACTTTGTATACATGTACTTTTGATGCTAAAAGACCGCCTTAGGCTGCATTTGTTCGCTACACTTTTATCGATATATTGATTTTTAGCACTGCAGTGAGCATAAATTTCTGTGAAACGCAATCACTGTACTCCCACTATTGTCACGTGCTCATCTTCCTTTCCCAGTGAGGAGGATGTGGTAAATGAAGGCCAAGCGAGCGGGTCATGACCAGGGTTGAGCAAGAGGTCAGGCGCCCTTCAAAAACGACCCCCCCCCCCCTGTGAAACCCCTAAACGACCCTCCGCTTCACCTCCAAGTCCTTAGGGTGTTATATTTTGAAGAAGACCAGCCTTCACTGCAAGTTTCTATTTTTTGAAAGTCTGTAGGCCCGACTTTCTGCGATTGCACAACCACACGCAACTTGACGGCAAGTTTTAGATCTGGATAGTCCTCTTTTCAGAGCTCTAATTTTCACTGGGGTGGAGTGTTTGGCTTCAAATTTTTTATATAGCAAGAAGAGGCTTGCTCAATACCCTTACCAAAAAAGGGACAATTTTTGAATGTTGAAAGCAAGTTAAGAGGGTCGTGCGACCAGGCGGCCTGAGCTTTTGAGGGGTTGCGCCTGACCTCATAAACTTTGTTTCCGAAAAAGCTTTTCTACCCAAGTTTTATGTGATTCGCTAGCTCAATGCTCGGAGATTTCATAGTAAGTGTTTGAGCTTGATTCGGCTTGTTTCGGCCTTGTGCTAATCCAAGAAGTTGAAGCACTCAACGTGAGAAACGCGCCGGTTGATATTTTGGCAGCACTTCTTACTTCACTGTTCAAAAGCGATATGAAGTTCGATTTGTAGCATAGACTTGTAGAGAACATTACTTTGTTATGAGTTTACAAAAGCTGACTTTTCTCACTTCTGAAACCAAGTTGATCACGTTTGAAAATCACGCTTTTTAGGCGTTGAGAAACACTAGAAACTGCAAAAGGTAATGGTTTGAAGAGCGTAGAGAGGTAATTTGAAGCTGATTATGGAAATGATTCCCATTTCACACAGCAAGCTCTTGTTTACCTCATATGTCGAGGTAAAAGAGAAGAAGATTTGAATTTTGGCTAAAACTTCCATTATGGAAACAATCAGTATGCTTTTATGACCGTCATTCCTTCATGTGATCGCGATATCCACAGGGCTAGCGCATTTCTTCTTTACCTTTACAGTATCTCCCCAACTTAATAAATTCGATTCTTAATTACGACCCCCCCCCTCAGTCCTACCCTCAATACGATCCCTCATGTCGGGCGCGCCTGACCCCGCGCTCAACCGTGGTCATGACTCACAGTCTGCGCTGAATTTCCGCGAAGCTTTGCAACGCTACGCAACCAGTACTTAGGTCATTTCTTGCCGGTACTCCTGGCGCATGTTACTCATGGCATTTATCTATCAGCGAAGGGTATCTGTGGGGCACGAAAGTTGAGTTCGATGTGCACGGCAAAGCGGCGGTGCTAGTCCTGAAGTAAGCTGCAAGGCCGTATGTGCAGTCCATTATGGACTTTGAGGGAATGAAGGCCAGGTAAGTTATAGTCGTCTTCACCCCACTGGTCACTCAGTGGACGAATTCGAATTCGAACTGAAGAGGCAAGTCGGCTAGAACGCGGCAGGCGTTGCTCTCATTTGAGCTAACACATTTTCCCCTGTTTTTCTTGTTGTTACCAGCTAATTTTTATGTCACCACAATGTTCATGTTTAGAATTGACGATTGTTGTCGTTAATGAGCGATCTTCTGTACTACTGTTCTCGACTCTTCAGCTCTATTCTAAAATAAGCTTGAAGGAAAGAATGGGTATTCGAATGCATAAAGTTCATTAAAGCAACAATCCAACACATCTTAGCTATTCAAAAAGGATGTACAAGCAAGAATTTCTGACCTTCATCGTAACAAACATACCCGAACTCAGCTTTAAATAAGCGAGCATGGATGTGCGGAACATCACTTAACAACGCTAAAGTCGTCAGTTCTGACCACTTTTTTGAAAAAGTAGTACGCAAAAAACATGTGTGAGCAATTGAGGGCTGAGGGCGCAGCGCTTCACCGCAACCGGCATGCTCCAGTTCAAATTAAATTTCGTCGACTGAGCAACTAGTGGGGTGAGGACTATAACAGCTTGTGCAGTGCATGGACAGTAGCTGAGGTAAAAGAATTGCAGCTGTGGAATACAGATTCGAAATCAGCGTTGATGCATCGATTGGTAGACAATTTGCTTGGATTAGCCACTTCGACTTCTAACCATTTCCTTGTTAGCAAGGACTCGCGTGGCACAAACATGTATGATACTCGACCGATGTTCATCATATAGGAGAGATTGTAACAAAATGCAGATTCTAGTGATATAAGTCGAAAAGCACCGGTTTCTTTGCAAATGTGCGTACTTCGACTTCTCAAAGACAGTGGCCCGTAGTAAACCCCCCATCAGGGCATCTCTCTCGACGCGGACATGCGTTGATCTCATCACGCCTCAGTCTAGCATCCGGTGAGCTATTGATTTGGATGCGGATCGCTTCCGAGACATTCAATCAAGTGCGTTCTTGAAAAAGGAACCACTTAAGTTGGTTTGGTCAAACGGGTAAGCGATTGGGATTACACACGCGCGGCCGGGGTTCGAGTCCGACTAGCCATACATACTTCGATGCATCGCTGGGCAATCTTTGATAGCGGCCACTACGCAATCGATGATGACCGCTATCAAGGATTTCGCCTAGCAAATGCACGAATAAAACAAAAACACAATTTGTGACGACAATTTTATGAAAAAACGAAATAGTTGCAGCGTGAATTTGATGAAATGAATAAATGAGTTCTTGTTTTGGACAGCTAGTGAAAAAAATCAGTAAGGTTTACAAAAAAGAGAAGAATTTGTTTTTTTGTTATCCTCGTCAAAATCAGCTGTTCATCGATCCTCTCCTTTTCGGGCGCGGTTGTGCAGTTTTGCGCCGATTTTGTCTGCATTTTTAGCCTGACTGTGTATCGTAAGTTACTCAGGAGCAACTTACGGGAGTCTTGTCTGCGTCTCCTCTTTTACACACTATTTGCATCACTCTAACATCAGTTCACGTTCAGGTCACTTGAACGTCAACTGATGTGGAAGAGTTGACTGCAACAGGTGGACAGTCAACTATCAGTTCACTCGCCATTCTTATAGCATGAGAGGGTGGGCGGTCATCAGTTCACCTGACGTGAGGTGAACTGATGGGATAAGTTTAATTCACCTGAACTGATCGAGCTTTACTACGGGCCAGTATGCGCAAGAGTTGGACAGAAAATACTCTCCAAGTGTTTAAGCCAGAACCGTCGATATTTTCACCATGTTTGAGCAAAGCTATGACTTTGTAAGCAGCTCAGAGGTAAGCGTCATTATGGCCAAAACTAAAAAGTCACAATTTCACATACTTGTATTTCACCGAGCATCTATACAATGTTACCTTCTGCTGAGATTGGAAATCAACAATAAATTCAATAAAGGAAGGGGCATCAGCCGATATTAATGTTGAAAAGTAGTAGCTCAAAACTGCACTTTGCATCCTCGTACAAGGAAATTACGAAAGGCTGTTCTGGCATCGTGGAATTTGGGTAGGCGTATAGCAGTGGCGGTCCGAGGGGGGGGGGGTGGGGGGGGGGGGCGCCCCCCCCCCCCCCTGGAGAATGGGTCGCGAAATTTTTGAAAATTACCTATATGGGTTATAAAAATGTGCAAACGACTTGTTTATTTTTGTAAATAATTAAAATAATTTTTAAAATTTTTAAAAATTCAAAATAGCCTTATAAAAAAATTTTTTTCGGGAGCGTGGCTGACGCCACGCCCCCTTTTTCTGATTTCAGAGGTTGGGGACCCGCAATAATTTTGAGAAGCACCCCAAAAATTTTTTCGGAGTGCGTGGCTGGCGCCACGCACCTTCACTTGAAAAAAATTTTTGTCGCCCCCTCCCCGGTCCGAAATCCTGGGACCGCCACTGGCGTATAGGTACTACTTGAGCAAGCAAGGTTCTAAAACTTTTCTTGCTCAAGTAAAAATCAAAATTCTATCTATACCCTTTCAAAGGTGAGACTCTGCAATAACTTTTTTTAACCACCTGTGGCCCATTGTAACTCTCACAGGAAAACACTAATAATAGCAAAATCCAATACTCACTATACTATACTGCTCGCTATACTATTACTCAATCACACTTTCAATTGATTCAATAGCAAGCAAAAAAATGCACGATATGGAAATAAAAATCGGCTTCTAGTCAGCATCAGCACGTGACATAGTTCAAATTCTATTGTTGAAAAACATCATTGAATTGACCCAATTTTCTTTTTTCGACTATCACGTCCGATTCTTAAGAAAGTAATTTTATCATTTGGTTTCTAGGACGAAAACTATTTTTCGCCACATCAAACTCAGGTAAAGAATTCGCCGAGGAAAGAATCACGTGCAATTTTTCGATCAAATATTTATTACTTTATGTGGTTTGTATAGCACTTTATTTCCGATTTTGCTTTGAACTTTAGTAATCTTATGAGAAGGCGGCGTCAAAACATGAATCTGATGTTGTAAACAGAATCAGAATATGTCTGAATACTGTATATAGCAAATTGTCTCAGGCGCGTTTACGCGTTTACGAAGCCCTCTTCGTATCAAATAGAGATCTAGACGGCTGAGTAGTTGTTACAGAAGTGGGCAAGAACCTGATACTTCGGCTTCTTATGATAGTCATATAAGCCTTTCGAACTCTTGCTTGCAATAGTAGCGTAACCACTGGATTTGCCATAGTGTTTAACACAGAGAATACCATCGGCAATTGGAAGGCTACGTCGCTATTTGGCAACAATATTGGTAGAATGTAATAGCACACACTACTGGCGAACTGTGTTGCACATATGAGAGAAAACTGAATCACCTAAAAGGTAGAGCACACTATGGTGAAAATGTCAATGTTCGACTGCGCCTACTACTCACCAGGCTAATTCTCTGTCTTAGAGATCTATCTTCGGGATTAGCATTTGCCACTCCTTTGAATCTCATCTGTTTCCGAAGGATCTCGACATAAATTAAACCATATAATAGAAAGTTGATACCAGGAAATATATATCCAAAATAATTAAGCAAGGGTCCAAAAAATATGCAAGTGCTAGAATGACATTGTGTAGTTGTGAGTTATACTGATTGTTATGTTTGAAGAATTTTCAAAAAATATCTGTAGTCATGTATTTACTGCTGCAGTTCGACAAGATTACATTATATTTTCAGAATAGAAAAAAAGGAACAATATTGAATTTCAGCTCGAAATGCTTGAATGCATGACTAAATTCATTATCATCAATTAACTAAAGATTTTTCAAAGTCAGAAAACAAAATAACACATAGTATTCTTTTTTACTTACTTACCTGCAAAGGTACGAAAACGTTAGCTTATAAGGATCCGTATGAATATAGCAACCCTCAAAGGCCATGCTTACTGTAATCAGGACCGACGTGATGCATGGAATTGATGCGAAGAACGCATAAGCCGTTTTATTCGACGCAAGGCTTTGCTGAACCTGAATCAAGGATCAATTACAATGTAAACATAATAGGAGATCGTTCGATAATCTTTTTCAGGTGCGCCAAATTATCGGCCAGCTTCGCGATGGCCTCACGAAAGAACCACTGAGACCAACGGACTCAGATGGTGTCCTGGAGTATTCTAATCATAATCTACACAGCCTCTTTAGAATGCAAAAGGTTTTTTGAAAATAGTAAACTATTAGAAGCGGACTAGTGGGTGGTTAAAAAGCAAAACCTTTTTTTAACTTCACAGTTTGCTCCACAGATTGAACTCAAACAGTTTTTGTAACGTTTTACGTTTGATTGCAGAGTGCAAAGTACAATGCTGTCACACTAGTCAGTCAGCATTTGCAAGCCCTGGCATACCGGCAACAATTTCATCGCCGTGATTTCGTCGCCGGAGGTTTTCATGGTCAAAGTAAATCGCGATTGTTATTAGGTTAGTCCATAAGTCTTTTCATATCTGACTTCTCACAGACATAAGTCACTTCTTCTTCTATTCTGGTGAATGCGAGGCACTCCTGCAGGCGAAGGTAAACTCTACAAGGTGGCACTTGAAAGTTTGCACCAAGCTTGCTTCGCATTAAGTTTGAAGCCAAAATAAGAAATTTTCCGAATTTGCGAAAAAACAAAAATGGTCGTGTCTCAGTTCAAAACAATTCTGCGAATTTCCCACTCACCCGCGCATATACTCTTCCTATTTATGCATACACTTGCTGCATTTTTTCGATGGCTAGAAGTCAAGAAAAAATAATGAGCTTAATTTTGAAACTTTGCCTGTAAAGGTCCTGTGTTTCTCGCAAATATAATATGGCTTATCCACTCAGAGGTACTGCCACAAATTTTTGATCTATATGTCTCCTAGTCTTTGAATAATGATTTTGAAGGTTCAAATATGAAAAGACTTATGGGACAAACTATTAAATCGCTGGTTGGGGGTTCTGGACATACTATTCAGTGGTTGGGTGCAATTAACTTTAGCACATTAGAGCTAATGTCTAAGCACAAGCTCATCAGACATGAAGTTCTTTTTTGCAATGCGAAACTTTATTTAGAATATCTCATCGTAACTTTTGAATGCACCTCACAACCATATTTTACATGAATGTGATTACTTTGAGCTTGAAGACACTTAGAACACTGAAGTGAAGAAAAACAGTCTTTGTACATGTGCTACCCGGCTTCCTACGACTCTAAAAAATCGGACTAAAACTTATATCTTATTGAAACTTGCACATGAGCTGGTTTTCGATAGTATGCATTTCAAACGTGACATAATTAACATATCACAAAAGCAAGAATAATGACAAACAGTCACATACCATAAAAACGACATGAACAAGCACGACATGCATACGTATACCACAGAAAAAATGGAATCAGAGAAAATTTCCTTCAATTCTGAAAGTCTGTGCAGAAAAACATTTCGCTAGAAAGAGAACTGTTCCAAAAACTTCCAAAAAGAAAATCCAACACCAGTATCGCCGCGTCGCTGACCAAACTGCGACGCGATACTGCAAGATTTCGGCCAAATCGCGGCGATATCGCTGGAGTAGGTGGTAACCTAGGAAAACACGGTCAACAATCCGTCGCACCGGACAGCTAGCACGACAGACATGCATGATTTGCCGGCATGCATAGCGCGTATGACAGCTGTCCTATTGCACAAATCAAAGCGATTATATTTTGTCGGTATGGCCAGTGCTTAAAGGCAGCGTCCAGGCAAATCTGGACATACGGGGTTCTGATTTGGGAAGTAATTCTGGGGCCCTAACCAAGACACTGCCCAAGCGGCAGCTCAAATGGTGAACTCAAAGTTGAGATATTCCAAACTGGACCCAGGAATCGTATTCGCATGGATTCATGGCAGTTTCGCGCGAGGACCACGCGTGTCGCGCCATGAATCCATGCGAATACGATCCCGGAGTCCAGTTTGGAGGCGAACTTAACTGTGAGTTCACCATTTGAGCTTGGGCAGTGTCTTAGTTAAGGCCCCAAAATTACTTCCCACATCAGAAACCCGTATGTAGTTTGCATGGACGCTTCCCTTAACGGCGGTATCTGGCAGATTTTGCATTTCCACCTTCCTGCATGTTTTAGTCCCTTTTGATGCGTAGAACCCAACCTTTAAATGGGTGAAAAACCTTTTTTGGGGCGTTTAGTTTTTAAGAAGCAGCGCGGACAAGATTTCTAATGGAAGGTTAGGAGGCCCCAACACAACGACCTGCCGCCTGTAATTTTTGCTTTGGATGGCATGCACAATGCGAGAGCGGTCGTGAGGTCCCGCCGAACAAATAAGCAAATCTTTCCGAATACGCGTCGATTGGGTCGCGCGCGCCGATTGATGCTCGCCCCAAAAAAGGTTTTTCCACCCGTTCAAAGCTCAAACTCGGGTTCTACGTGTTCAAAAGGACCTAAAACATGCAGAAAGCTGGAAATGCAAATTCTGCAGGAAGTCCTGGCCATACCAACAAAAAATCATCGCGATTTTCACGGCGGAGGGGGATCATCAACCGGATTGTTCCTGGAGGTTAATGAGGTAACCAGGAAACCCACCATAACTATATCGCCTGAGCGCGAATCTGCCAGAACATTGCCTTTAAGGAATTGTTTTCCTACGGAATAAAAGTTTTTTTGTTAAAGATAACGAGTACAAATGATTTAGATCCAAAATCAGTTCTGTAAATGAGGGCATCAGAGTTTTTCAGTTGAAAGACGATTTTCTAGCCATGACACACAAGCGTAGCAAACCCATCGTCAAAACAGACGATCTCCCCTGAAGCCCTAGTTTCACATTCGTCAGTTAATGAGACGCCCATCTTCCGTTTCTCAAGCAAGGTTACCTTAACAGGAAGTTGACTGATTGGTGAACTGTTGGGCAAATTTACCGTGCTTCTGTAAGGTAAGTATGGATGAGAAACTCAATTATAGTGCGCCAAGGAAAGTTCCGTGACTTGCTTGTGAATAGCTTACTGGACAACTGATTTGACAAAATACTGCAGATGAAAGTGCGCGATACAACACAATTTTGGGCATTCACGGAGAGTAACGATGACGCTGATCGAAGCCATGAAAGAAAAAGAAGTTTTCCTTCTTTTGCAGAGTTTGCCTAGGGTTAGTAGAAGGCATAAAGTAAAAATTCCTTCATTTATCTCAAGCTACTTCTGTTCTAATAGTTTTGACTTCCAATAGAAATTCATGCCAAATATTATGATTTTGTTACTTTGTCCACTTGTCAGGCGAAAGTCTTGATAGCGGTCATCACCATCGATTTTTTGATGATGGCCGCTGTCAAAGATGCACGGGCTATAATGCAAAATTGTTGCCGCTGCCCATTCACAAAACACGGCTGTGCCAGTTAATCTCTCCGCCCATTTCAGTCCTGCACGAATAACGAAAATGTTCTTTTGTTTAAATGGAAACAGTCTACAAAGCATTCGCATTAGCTCGATGGCACGACTGACGCTGATTCTCGGCGCAGCAAGGTAATCTTTGTATCCTCAGCTGACTTGGAATGAAGAAGGTTCACTACGGGCCTAAGAAGAATGCCTAATCAAAGCTCTCAAAATGCACAGAAATTTCTGAACAACCATACTCAACAGCGTCAGTGGCGAAGGCTTACTCTATTCTACTGCTCAATTTTGAAACAGCAGAAAAGGTTTTCAAATTGTATAAGCGCGTAAAGCTGCGCACATTTCAGCTTAAGGGAAAACTTAAGTTTTCTTTTTGAAAGCAAAATAAGCAAATTCTGTTGCAGTATAATGTTAATGTTGAAGAAAACAAAATCATGGCTGATCTCGTCAAACTCCTCTTCATGCCGTCTTCTAATCTTCAAACAGTTGGAGATATTCGCACAAAGATGTATTCGTCTATAAAGGCGCTAATCAGATGAGGCCATACAGATTCGAAGTCAGCGTTTTAGGCTGCATCGAATGGTAGGCAGTTTGGATGGATTGGCCACTTCGACTTCTGACTATTCTCTTGTAAGTAAGTGGCTGAATCCCACACAATTACCATTTTCAATATGGATCCCTTAGGTGGAGTGAACAAAAGATTTGCAAACAGCGTGATATACAACCACTCAAGAGGAAATTTCGATGAAATGTGCGACCTTTGCTTTTTTGTACAAAATCAGGACGTGATATCGTAAGCCCGTAATTCGGCGACTATTATAGATTTAAGACTGAGACATGCACCGTTCAATAGTTCTTCTCCTTGTGACTTTGGCCTGTAAAGGGAAGCAAGCAACTTCTGTACGCGAAAAGTGCAGGCGAATTTACGGAATTTCGTGGCTTAGCTACAGCTCCCTCACCATATCCATGCTAGAGGACCCTGTGCTCCGTAAAGACCCGATTTTCGTAGACATCGTGTCCGGAAACCTTTGCGAGCGAGTCTCCTTTCAATCCAAAACCATCGAGATTTTAGCCAAAACCCATCGGCAAGCTGGGGAACGAAAAACGAGATAAAAGCAAATAATCCGAGCCTCTTAAGAAACTGGCTCTAGAGGTTATCTGACCTGCTGATTACGAAAGCACATCTGCTTAACAAGATAGCTCCCTATTTTAGAGTCACGGTGAGTAGATGACATGGTTTTCTAGAATTCACCAGTTCTCCTATCTCTTTGGAAAAAAAGCCGCCTGTTGCTTTCTAGCGCTCTAATTATCTACGGAAACAGCACTATCGATCAGTGCTTACTAGAATCTTGAGAACTTAAAAAAAGAATTGAATATAGAGTACATGCTGTATACCAGAGGATTTGCCTTGATGAGCTGAGCACAATACTTTTTTCGGATTTAGAATATGTTCCGGAACAATTATAGCGCTGCGTAGTTTGCGTGGTCCGCGTGACTCCGCGAAATTTCCGAAATGTCGCAAATCCCCGAAATGCCGCGGACTTCCGCGGAATTCCCGAAATTACGTGACATCCAGGGAAATTTTGTACGTTCTACGAATAGTATTGTACACTATAGGCTTGTCGGCTTTATTTCTACAATCAGAATTATTCTCGATTTTTGATAAGAGTTTTGGCCTCGCAAACATCACTGATTTGAGGTTGTAGGTAGGCTTAGAACACATAATTTAAACAACGTCAATTATAACGAGCTGCGTTTTGGAATACTATATAAACAGCCGTCAAACACTCAAGACAGACTGTTCGTATACTGTCGCAGTGGTTGGTAAGTGCTCTAGCTCATAATTTCCAAGTGAAAAAGTCAACACTTTCTAGTTTGAGCCCATTGTAATTCGAAGAGAGTTTGCATTTTTTTAGTTTGCTCAAATGTGTACAGCAATCTGAACAATGAGCAAGGTGAAGTCTCCTGGAACATAGAGTCCACAACGGTGTAATTCACGACCCACATAGACATGAGCCTTTTAAACTTTTCATTCTCCCTTTCCCCTTCCCCCTCCCCTCTAAAAATAAGCGTCGTTGTTTTTCCTCCCTTTTCAGCTTGAATAGGTCCAAGGAGGTGCAGGTAATCATTTTGTAAAGAATTTCATTCACTTTTTGTGAGGATCTGAGAATAAGTTCTCATGTCTAACACTATGAGCTGGGATTTCATATAAAGCTAAAAACGACGTAAATATAGCATTTACCTTGCTCAGATAAAAGGACATAAAACGATCTATTGCCACATTTGTGTTCGTGAACATCAGAGCCAAATAACCAAGATTGTCTGTCGATGACAATATAATATTCCAAGGATCTGGCATGTGCACTGCACCAACGGTGGCTGGTATCAAATCGAGTATATCGGCAGATAAGTATACGATGCTGGCAATTATGAGGCTGATAACGTGATATTGAAACCGCTTGTCCAAAATACGCATCTTCACGGTAATGATTAATAGTAGCAAATTTAGTACAAACGAAATTGCTGTGAAAAATATCAGTGAAGCTCCTAGCCAGATCCGATCCGTTATGAGAGGTTCGTGTGAATGTGCGTCACGGAAGCAATCAAGTGCTTCGGACATAGCTGAAGTGATAAGTATTACCACGCTAGAGAAGGTGAATGTCCGTTGCTAAAATCGCTTTGTATCTAGGAATCTCATCGCGTTGCGAATGACCATTTGAGACAGGGAAAGAGAATATCCCAGAAAATTAGAATATTTTTAGTTGTCATATCGTGAATAGAGGTTGCTAATACGTGATGGACGGTTGACTATTTATGAACAAATAACTGTATTGAGCAATCAAGCGGTGCGCATCAAGTGGTAATAACAAGATGATCTTGCACTCGGAATGTGCACACAGGACTACGCCTTCGTACTCAAAATGTCCAGAACTGGTGTAATTATAGTAGGCGCCATCTATCTGGTCACCCCACTGTAACTGTACAAAGACAACAATGTCTTACTCGGTTATCCCAAAATGTTTCTTTTTTGTATTTCTAAAATGTTATCTGCCGAAAACTTACCTGGTCGGCTACATTTTGGCGAACTATTGTGGAGCACGCGCGACGATGACTAGACAAATGGCGCCTACTATACCCGTAACAGAAGAATGAAAGCAAAAAATGCCTAAATGGAAGAGTGCAGAGATTTGAAAAGAATCACATACGGGCTAGCGAACACGCTACAAAACAACAAAGTACCTTTGTGTTCTCCTTTTATATCTTATTTATCCCTTTTGTCATCTCATCTCAGTCATCCCGGCAGACAACATTAGAAATCTGTCAGTACTCAGAAAACTTTGCGATAAAGCTTCTACACGAGATTGCGATGTGCGCCCATACGAAAAACTTGGAAAATGCGAGGCTAGTGCTTCATATTATAGTGAGAGTACGGAGTGCTCTATTATCTATATTTTTGAAATTGCGTGGCCACTGAGTGCGCTCAGCGCAGCGAACTTTTAGCTAGCGAAAGGAGGTAAAGCATTAGTCTACCAAGAAAACTTGGAATGATCAAGCATAATTGGTTTATCGGGAGGTCAGGTGCAAAGCTTATCCTATGAACATCAAATTTTCATGACGAATGGAAGATTCTCATACTTATTTGCGAGCCCAGAGAAGACAGTAAGAATAAGAAGTCATCTACCACAAGTGGCTTGATGTTTATCTCATTGCGCGTTTTAGTTGAGCAGCCGTATAATAGGTTGACTGCTTAAACCTCATTCTACTGAGCACTTCCGGAGCGCCTGCAAGCTGAAACAACGCTAATTTTAGTGGGTGAATCATAGCTCCCAAACAACCGCTTTCAATCACGACGAATCGAGTGGCAAGTTGGGAGAGGTATTTGACGACCGAGAACGAATGTCAACGTGACTGACGCCTTTTCAGCCTCTGAAGAGAGCGCCTAGCTAAAAGTCGAAAAGTTTATTTCATCCATAACAAACGCCCTATATTGCCCAATGAAAAGCTAAAATTACTCATACCAGTAACATGCCCGATTTAAAAAAAAGAACATCTATAGCGATTTAGAAAAAGCTCTAAAGAACAAAGCAGGATCTACGTTTGATCAACGCATTTATATCTGATGTTTTTTTTTCAAAAATCAGAGATTTTGCAAATGAGCACGAAGTGACGCCAAATATTTGAGTCTCGATTTTTCGAAAAGAGGCTCGTGAACTATAATAGTAAGATATTTTTGCATTGAGGTTCCTGCAACTATGCACTTCATGTGCGCTTACACCTGTTCATAGCATGTTTGCACGCTTACACCTGTTCATAGCATGTTTGCACGCTTACACCTGTTCATAATTCTGCTCAAAAAGTAAAGCAGATAAATGGTAGCTTCCAGCTAGCTGAAATACTAGCGTGAAGTGGCACATCAACGAATACTGGAGTGGCTCCACTTCTGTAAAAACATATTGAGTTCAACCGGACTTGTATGCCTGATGTTTTAGTACTTGGTATGTAGAGCAGAGTTATTGATTGTTTTGATTCATGAATTGATTTGTTAAGTAAAGGTTTCAATGACAACTGCCGTAAAAATAGAAAGGGGATGAAACTACTAGTCATCACAAGACCAAGAGCAAGTAAAGGAGCCAAATTATGCGTGAAGGATAGTAGCATACGCAATTAGCTAATATGGTATAGTAAGCGTCAAGCGCAATTGTAATATTATGGAGATTTTTTGTTTATTGCGAGGACTTTGTTTGGTAACGTAATATGGTTTTGACTCTCTCTCTCTTCTCTCTTTCTCTCTCTCTAGCTTCTTCTCCACAAAACACAAATAATTACTAAAGTTTATCCTTATGACATAAAAATAAAAAAATGATATAGAGGTGAAATAGACAGATACTTATACAGACATAAATGTAAGAGGTAAATGAGAGTAGTGAATAATGAGAGTACAATAGAAGGTGCATTATATCGAGAGTAATGGTGAGATTACATTAATTCGAGCGTTACATAAAGGATACAAATCAATGATAGAGGAAAATGAGGGGGAGTCAAAGTGAGGGGCGATTAAGTGAGGTGCGTGACGCCAGCCGAGACTGGCGGCGCTAATGCGAGAACCCTCTCGGAGGCGAGGTTACTTTCTTTTTATACTTGCATTAACCGGCAAGCTGTGCGGGCGAGCCAATAGCCAATTTGCGTTTTTCTTAGATAACATCGAAATAAGGTTAAGGACTGCTAAGGTACGTCACTTCCTTTCACAAAAAAAATAGTTTCTAATGTAGTTTGTGGTGTAGTTTTTACCTGCTTACTTTACACATTTGAAGCAAACGGAACTCAGCAAATTTAATTGTACATAATTGTTCTGTTCGACATTATGGTAAGTGGGAAGTCCTCACGTTTGAATGCTCAGTTTGCTCAGTTTTAGATAACCTGTGTTTGAAACAATGTCTGAGAAGGATCATATTTAACTTAATAACATTTACTCGAGACTTGCTTTAGACGATATTGACAGTGCCACGTAATCCAACAACCTACAGGAGTGAAGAGAACGCAATAGTTTGAGACATGCATTTAATTGCCAGACTCCCAGCAGTCCACCGACTCATTATCTTGTCAGTTTACTTAAGCACGTATAGCATCCCGTTCAGTTTTTCATGATAAATATGTCGCAAGAAAGAGATGCTGCAATTTGATTTTTTTCAAGAACTAGGGGCTGTTAGATTTGAATGTTCTAGAATAGATCTGCGTCGGGGAAGAGGGGGCGGGGGGGGGGGGGATTCTCAAAGTTACTTGTATGAGTTATAAAAATGTGCAAGTGACTTGTTTATACTATAAAATAATTGAATTCAATTTACACTCCTTATGTTAGGTCGGTGCGAAAGTGTTTTTTTAGTTTTTTGACCGGTCTTAAACATAATAATCGCAAAAAGGTGATGAAGATATTGTTTGACGCATTCTTCCTCAAGCAGTCCTGTTCTTTTGAAGTCCTGTGATGTCAAGCTATTGCTACAAAATATTGCTTGTTTTCCTCTTCGAATGATTGGTTTCAGCTTCACAGTAGATTGTCAACTCCTAAAAGTGCAAGAAAATTTTCTTGTTATGCACACGTTTAAGAGGTCTTATAAAGGCTGGGTTCATGCTAATCCTTATGTTCCAGAACAGTTTCAGCACAGTTCTCGCACTGTACTAAAACTGTGCCGGAACTGTGCTGCATGCGCTGCTGCGCTCGCAGCATGCGGTCTCGATTTTCGACCGCATGACGGTTTTTTCCTCAGATTTCACTCATTTCGCTCTCATTCCCCTCCTCCGCTTTCCCTCTTGATGGAAAGGCCTTGATCTTGAAACGGGTTAGAGAACGAAAGCAGTTCTGCTTGCATGTAACCGCGAAAATGATTCTTTGTGCGCCGTCCATTCGCTCTTAGTTATTTTTGTTCAGACTTCCTTCATGTGTTCCAGGAAGCCCAGTTCCGCATTTGTATTAAAAGGGGCACAGACACTTTTCTAAAACACATGAAGTAAGCGAAAAAGCTCGAAGAATCATCTTCCCGGATACATGAAAGCAAAATTGCGCTCATTCTTCCCCGCTTTCAGGACATCGAGAGATCGGCGCATTTCCATCGAAAGGAGAAGCGTAGTAGAAAAAATGCGATCGAAATGAGTGAAATCTGGGAAAAAACCGTCGATTACGGTTAAAAATTTTCAACCTCCGCCGCTCAAAGCCGCCTGCGGGCGCAGCAGCGCATGCAGCACAGTTCTGGCACAGTTCCAACACAGTGCGAAAACTGTGCTGGAACTGCTCCGGAGATTTCGGATCATTGTGAACCCAGCCTAAGAATTTGTAGTGCCTACCTGCAAGCTTAAGTTACTATGTTCTCTGTGATGATCTTAACGAAAACGTGACAACGTTTCAAAGAAAATTTGACTAAAGAATAAACGTAAGTATTAGGGTATCTCATAATTTTTTTTATCGTTTTTACTAAAACCGTCGTGTTTTTGTAACTTTCCTCCATCTGACGTGTCTTGAGTAAACTTTCGACAGGGTAAAGCAAGCTCTACAAAATGGCTATCAAAAGTTGCACAAATCATATCCCACGTGAAGTTTTGAGCTGAAATTTAGTAGAATTCGAAAGCGAATTTCTTCGTCAAAAATCGTAGCTCTGCCCCAAGGTATCTAAAAATTCCTCATTTACAACATGTGCTTGACACATCGCACATCAAACTGTGCACTTTCCGAATTTTTTCCATGACAGGGAAATGAAGAAAAAAATGAATGATGTAAAATGGCAAACCCCCCCCCCCAGAGGAGCTCCTCCTACGCATGTGATCATAAGGCTCATAGAATGTGATCATATGGTGATTATATCTGATCATATGGCCCGAGAAAGGCTGATGTTTAGGACAAAACGGTAAAAAATTATGAAACATCCTAATAAAAATGTCATTCTGCTTTGATGAACATTTGAAAAAATTAGTTTCGCCCACAACAGAGATATGCGCAGGGATTCCATTATCTGAAAAAAATAAGCGGCAGCGAGGTACTAGTCATTACTTATATTTTTTCCTGACTGATTTGCATAAAAAAGTATGAAAAAATTTTTTAAATCATTGCTGAAAGCGATTAGGATTCGAATT